GGGGGGGGGAGGTGAGTGACAAGCGGCGGAATGAGAAAGTAGGCCAAGAGAGGATGAGTGGCAGAGAACCGGAGAGGGGAAAGGTTTTGGAGAATGTGAGAGAAAGGCTCAAGAGCGTTAAAGCGTGAATAAAGAGATGCGTGAAGGGAGACGTGAGGAGACAGAACAGTTAAAAGAAAAGAAAAAAAAAAGAGACAGCTTGAGATAAGGAAAGGAAGAGAGATGTGAGGTTAGCCACTTCCCTTTTTGCTTTGCAGTTTCGAGAAGGGGTACTCTTCTCTCTGGTCAAACAGCTGTGTGTGTGTATGTGTGTGTGTGTGTGTGTGTGTGTGTGTGGTGAAATAGACCTGTAAATGTCATTAGGCAGAGGTAACTGACACAAAGTGACATGCACTGACGATGTGAAATGCGTTTTACAAAGATCGTCGTAGAGAATAGATGTGCACATATACACGCAATCCGGACTTCCAGTTTTGAGCAAACCACATTGCTTCAATAGAGCTCGGGTTGACAAAGCAAAAGTTGGTGCCAGCATCAAGAGGAAATAACATACAGAGACGAGTGTAAAACGTTGTAATTGTATGCAGAGAACACTGGCTTTCCTGATAAACATGAGTGCATTTTCCTCAAATCAAATCTGCTAAGCGCCTTTTTAACGGACATTCCTCAGAGCACCAGCCGACAGTTTACTAGGCTCACCTAGCTGAAAGAAAACCTTAAAACATTTTGGGAAATACTCTTATTCGCTTTCGGGTGCTCAAAATATGAGAAAAAACTTTGTGCAAAATGCAGTACAATCCAACAGTACATAAAGTAGAGCCTCAAAACTGACTATGAAGTTGAATCAACAGCTCTCTAAAAGTTTCAACTAAACTGAAATGTACAGCAGAGCTGTTAGACAGCATTAGTGTTAGGTTAGCTACTGTATGGGTACCCAACAAACTGTCAAAAGGGTGCAGAGCGGCCTTCGGATTCAAACAGGCAACCTTTCAAGCTAACTAAACTGCAGGCTGCAGCATCCCCACCTACTGAGGAATGTCACATAGACAGGAAGAACAATACAGGTTGGGAGCAACGAAAAAAAAAACAAGTTATTCACTTTCATTATGAAAAAGCATCAAAGCTCCCAGTGAACAGCGTCAGGTTGGTCTCATCCACAACACACATTCCCACAAAATTCCTCTCAATCTTTAAAGCAACAGAGGCTATTATGGGCTACATCCAGGAGAGCAAAATATGCACACACACACATACACACTCACTCACATTCACACTCATTCACTGTATCAGGTCGGCCATCAGGAGAGTCACAGGAAGTTAGCCCTGTTAGAGTTTCCTGTCCACCCTTCGGATCACTCCCCCCTTTTCCTGGAAACTGAGGACGGAGTCCATCCACATCCACACACACACACACACACACACACCTTCCTCTCTGTTACTGTTTTTCTCTTCTCCGTGCCCACACCTCTCCAACAATAACCTTTATACTCTCTCTATCCAGCCTTCCACTGGACCGAAGCTGCTCACTTTCTCTGTGATGAACTTTAGAAAGTGACAGAGAAGAGGCCTCCTCCCTCATCTTTATCTCACCTCTTCTGTTTCTGCTTTTCTAAGATTGGCAGATGACCAGACAGGGTCAGCAGCACAATAACATGTAGTCTCACACACACACACACACACACACACACACACACACACACACACACACACACACACTGTGTACAGTCATACAGTCATTGTTCTCCATTGGGTTCCTGTTGATAAAATGTCCGTCTTCCCCTCTGCACACAAAAGCTGCTCCAACACCTGATAATTCAGTTGACCAGAGGTGTTTATACATAGAGGAAACTAACACTAAAGTCACACACACAGGTCACACGGCCCACTGAACAAAGGCGTCACCAATCAAGCATGTACAGAAAGCCAAGATATGCACTTGTGCACCCACATATAACCTGCCATGGTTAATTAAACACAAGCCAACATGTATGTGTCCGTTTCCATATTTCTCTTTCAATCAGCCACAAGCATTAAAGGTATGTAGAGCAAAGTGTGTGTGTGTGGTGGTGATGGGTGGTACATTTGGGTTGCACATTTAAATTGGCACACTTTGCACTTGTTGCTACTTTTTTGGTGTGTGTATAAAACAAGAGTCTGCATAAGTACTGAGAAGTACACCAAAGTAATTTAAGAACAGTTCCTTTGCCTTAAAAAAAAGAGTTTAGCTGTGACTCATAGTTTAAAATATGTAATGTTAAATTAAAAGCAATGAGAGCTGTATTGATATCCTTATGTACATAAAAGAATAGAATAAACAAACAGACTACAATGTTGCATTAAAAAGGCTCTTCAGTCATGTACGCACTGCCTTTCACCTTATCTAAAACATGTTTTGCTAGTTGCATATGGTGTAAGAATAACGTGGCACAGTCAATATTTCTCCGTCATGCATCTGTCATTAATGCTTCTTGCCACGAGCACAGCCCCAAAACAAACCGCTTTCAATCATATTCATCTCACAGAGATAATAGTATTTCCTGTTAGCTGTTTCAAAACCTCACTGACTCGTTGCTTACTGTCACAGCAGATTTTCACAGCGGCTGGCAAGAACAAATAATTAGACTACAGAAGCAGCTTTCTCTGTTGGGGAGTAGTGTGGAATTGGTTTGTGAATACAAGTCTGTCTGCAACAACAGCACGGACTAATACTTCCATCTTTATTCGATAATAAGCTTCAATGTTTGTGTTTTTAAAAGTTTTGCCAGGGTTGCTTTAACAAAATATACATTGTCTTGCCCATCGCTAATGGCATGAAGACGAGCAAGTAATTGAATTATTTTCACCATGCAGGTTTTGAAATAACCGCCTCCACCCAATACAATGAAGGTGAATAGAATTCCATAATTTACAGACTTCACTCCAAACACCAAAACAGTCAACTGTAACAATGAAGAACTGTCCTCGGTAAGATCAGTGGATTTTCCAAACTAACGTGCGAACGGTCTCTGGAAAGAGTCGCTGCTGAAGCTGAATTTACAATGTTATCTCTCAATGCTGTGAGCACCACAAATTCAATTAAATGTGTGTTTATTGTATTGGGGTTTGAGGCAGAGATCTTGGAGATGGATATCTTGAAACCTTAGAAAATGAAACCAAAACTATCTGCATAGCTGCATGTTTTCTATTTTGTTATTAAGAGATCTGACCTTTTAAGAGAAAACTATCACAGAACGGCACTAATGAAGAAATGCATTCTGGTCAATTGCTGCAGTAAAAGTAGCAGAACTTCACTCTGTTACAAAAATCTTGCAAAATGTACCTCAGTAAAAATATAGAAACATTATCAGCAAAGTGTACTTAAAGTACCCAAAGTAAAAGCACTCAGTATATAAAATGGCCCTTCAGTGTCATATTATTACATTATTGGACCCATTCAAATTGATGCACGGTGGAGCTTTAATGTAGAACAATCCATCATGTTTGTATTTTAAATATTAATCTGAAAAGCAAGCAACAAATACCTATATGTGTGGAGTAAAACTAACGGAGTAAAAAGTACAATATCTCCCTCCGAAGTGCAGTAGAAATGTAAAGTAGCATAAACTGGAAATACTCAAGTAATACCTCAGAATTGACATACAGCAACATAATAACTTGCTCTATAAGAATATAAGCAGAGCATTAGCACGCATTCAGTGCGCTCTTATGAAATCACAATAACATCACCCTCCATCGTCACACTCTCAAACAGCCAAATCCAAAGGACACACCCTTTCCTGCACAGTGGACTGCAGATAAGCTGCTCCCAGCGGGGAATTCACTGCAGGAACACAGAGAAACACAAACACACACGCGCACACACACACAATTGTTCAGATCTGTTCAGTTTCTGTACTTTTACACCAGCTCTTTCCAGACTTTCTCCCAACCTCCTCTTTTCTTGTTCCTCCATCTCTTTCTTATACCGTTCTCTTTTCTCTCTGAATCGCCCCTCACTAGCAGGAAGCCCTACAGGATGCAGAGGGTGAGTGGAGCAGGAATGATAGGACAATGGGAAGCAAGCTGTCACCGAACCCTCACACACATAGCACACACTCAAACACAGTACAAACACACACTCAAAAAGGAACTAGAGACCAACTAGAGACCAACTGGAGGTGGGGGCGATGGAAAAGTAAGGTGTCCCGGTCATCGGGACATCCTGTTTTCACATGAAGTCATCATATCCTCCAGATACAGGGGGCCGAGGTTGCTCGTTAGGAAGCATACATGAATTAAGTCATTTACGTTTAACAGTCTAATCCTGTTTTTCAAGGGGCTTAGGGCCTGCTACTATGGGTGCAACAAGAAGAGGAGTCTTCCTCAGGTTGCCCCAGTGGCTGACGACAGCAAAGCCCCTGTTGAAAATGACAGATTCAGCTGGAAGCTTCCATCCAGATGTCTAACATCAGCCTGTAAGGACAAGTGCTTCACCGTCACGGCCCTCAGCTGCTTGGTGGGAAAGCTGTGACGATGTTGACGTCCATTTCTTAACCCCACCAACTGAAAAACATATCCATGCCTCCCTTCTTCCTGCCTGGCCCCGAGGCTAAAGACAGGAACTGACCTCGTAAAGAAACAGGAAGTGATGAAGTCCGGCCTTGGACAGCCTCATCGCTTCTTTCCCCATCCGACCCTCAAAAATTCCACGACTATACTCCTTCACACAGACACACAAGCCACCGTGAAACAAAGATTAATGTTGATTACTTAAAGGACGGTGGTGTGATCCTCCCGGCTACCCATCATGATGAGGAAATAAACACCTCAGAGAGATGGACATGTTAAGGAAACATGCAGCCCTGCCTTTTCCTCAAGGTGGTTTCCTGTAGACTGGTTGCCAAATAAATCACATTTACGAAAGGAATATTCTTCCTCTGAAGCAGATTTAACATAAACTGACAGACGAAAGACCTTCAGCCAAAAAGTACTTTCGGAATTCATCTATCAAAAAGTTTGAGAAATGTGCAATACACTTACAAAAACCTCCAGTTGACCCGAGATGATGCGGTCAGCCACAAATCCAGATCCTATGATAAGTTACTGTTTGATCCTTCAACCGTTTCAATTTAACAATAAATGTACAATTACTTCAGCCGTATAGGTTTTTGATAGCAAGAGATTTCACCTTAAAGCACTTGTGACTAAGTTTTGGTAACTTCCTCTCTTTCTAAATTGCAATGTTGGCTGTTTGATTTCTAAATATCACCCTTTGTGGTATCCGTCCAGCATGAAGAGTGGAACTAGTGGTAGTCGACTTCATTAACATCTCACAGGCCACCCAAACTTCCTTTTATTGAACAGTAACTCCAAATTTACCCAATTTTCGAAAGCACTGAAACCACCCAATCGGGTTCGGACTGATCCATTTAAAAAAATGTACAGAGGGGTCTGGGCTGCTGATGTTCATCAGGTTGGTTTCCTTTTGCCTACCTCGGTTAAATTTACAGTCGAGTTTCTCACTCTCAGAGGTGACTTCCTCCACTTATATAGAACACAACTGAAAAGTTAAAAGCAAAACTAATTTGATAAGCAGCGTGGGAAAACGACCCACCTGTGTCTTATCAAAGCAAAGTTCTTCAAACAAAACACTCATTCTGTAATTATAAAAAGCCTACTGCAACTACAACTGATGTAGATTACGTTTTCAGACAGTATATGATAAACGGAGAAGACATACCGGACACAAAATGCGTCGTTTCCCCGTGGGGGTTTCCTTGTGTCCTGAGGTGAGAGTCAGCGGTGTCCAGTGGCTCGCGGGGCGGACGGAGAAAAGCCGCGAGCTACTGCGTTGAGCAAGTGAAAAGACGTGAGCGCGCGCCTCGTCCGGAAGGTCTTTGGGAACGGACTTCAAGCGCGCAAAGAAGTCCACCCCAGAGGAACGCGCGCGTGAAGTGGACAGTTGAAGACCGATGTTGATATGAAGGATATTACAAAAGACTCCTATGTGGGATACCTTTTAGAAATATGGGCTACCAGCCTTTTTTATCATATTCAAGAGGAATGCACCCCCAATAATTATTATTCTGTAAACTATCACACTGGAGATTCTAACATGAAATTATCTTTTACGATCATGTTGACAGCCATCATCAAAAAAAAAAAAAAAAAATAGTACGCCAGGCTACATTGATAAAGAAGGTTGAATAAGACTTTACTGTTAACGTAAAAGTTGATGTTCTAGCTGTAAGCACCAACTTTAGGTTCCCTCAAACACCAAGCAAACCGACAGTGGCTGGTGCTGATGCAGTCTGGGCGTGTTTTCAGTCTCACGGTGAGATGCGACACGCGCACTCTGTTGTGAACTACAGGAAGACATAACGAAATGTGCGACATCCGCGTGCGTATAATCCAAAAATGGTGTTTACTCTTGTGCGCTTTACTGGCACGTTGCTTTTCTTCTCGTGTTATTAATAATACTTTTGATCAACACCATGTCAGCCACATTCAGTAGTATTGTATATTGTCACACTATTGTCACACTATTACAGATCACATTAAAGAGTGACTTCGCAGAGTGAACTGTGGCGTCATTACAGCTTCTTTTAAGTCTGTCTCCATCGTGTGGGGAATCATGGTAACTCCTGCTGCAACACATCCAGAAGTTTGTGTTGAACTGTGTGTCTTGGATCATAAACACAAGAAATGTAAATCTCATAATAAAGTCTTTTACATCAGAATTCAAAAATAAAAAAGCAGATGACGTAGTCCGATGGTTTTTGCCAGAAAATGATGTCGAGACACAACACAGCGTTTACATTTTGGCAAAGTAACTTTTTATTGTTTATAAAAAATACAAGTTATTTGTTTTCATCTCAGCCTCTGCATGCTACAAACAGAGAGGACTGAGGCCCGAGTAGTCATGATGAGGCGAACGGCTGGTATCTGTGGGTGACAGATTATTGGCCTGAACAGACACTTCAATCACGATGATTTAGTTATACCAGTCCTTACTCCACCTGCATACCTTACTCGTAAGATATGTGTGTGTGTGGCGGAAACATGTGCAAGATATTCACAGCAACACTTGAGGCTCAATTGTGGGAAACGAAACCTGATTAATTTCAGTGCAAATAAGTAACAAGTTTTAAATATCAGATATCCCAGTCCCAAAGCAGCATCACAACATTAACACTGAAACTGGGAATATGCATAAACAACTATTCACTGTAGTGTGTATGTGTGTGTGTGTGTGTAAGATTGTCTGTCCATGTTGTGTTCTGCATTGGGTTGTGGTGCGTCACAGCTGGCTCAACATTTGCAGAAAACGTGCGAGAGTGAGTGCGTCATCTCATGAAGTGTGTGATGGCTCGTAAGGTATAAAGAAGGGCCGCTTGTAGCCGGGCTTCCATCACTATCAGGTTTGCATGAACCTGCAACACAAAAACAACAAAGAAATGACCTTCAGGTTACTAGATGATACACTTTTAAGTCCCGTCTGCAATTGAAAATCTCATTCTCTAATGACATTTAAAAAAGGAAGGAAAGAGAGGAAATGTCAAATCATTCATTCTTTGTTCAGAAGGTACCAAATAGAGACGCTGTGTTAAAATGTCAAACGATTCATTGATTGTGGCTGAAGAGGCCGGGTCAGGTGTGCGCGTTTGAACACGTTTGCACCTTTTCGGAGTGTCTGAAGTGTCTCCAGAATGCGTGGTAAACACGAGCCGTGGTCTGCTCGGGGTAACAGGCCATGGTCTTAACAAACACCTTCAGAGAGCGCTCCAACAGCACGTTCACGCTGCCGTAGTCATAATCGTCGTAGCTGCACAGGTACAATAACAAGTTACTGACACAGCAGAGACAAAACTAACTTTAAAACTTGATTTCTAAGAGCACTGACCGTATACCGTACAGACAGTGGATGTAGTTCCACAGAGCCTTTCTCAGAGTGTGAGTGTCCACACCTTCATGCATGGCCATCCTGTGGTAGGTCATGTTGCTCACAACCTGCAAAGATGTAGTTAAATCTCAATATAATAAGCTAAATCAATCTGATAAATTCACGTGTATACAGTTTCTTTTAAATGCGGGAAAACCCTACTAAAAATAAGCGATCGACTCCTTTCCCATTGCCAGTGGACAAGTGTAGCCCGGATCAGTTTACCTGTTGTAAGGCGCGCCTGGCCTGCACTGCTTTCTTATGTTGCGCATCGCCAGTAGATGTGGTAGTAACATTGAGACAATGGCAAATGCAGTCAAAAAGGTTGATATTAGCTGTATTTAGTTACAATCAACTATGTCGTTTGTCTGCCTGAATACATTTTTAAATCCAGTTCAATCCAGGTTGTGCAGGCAGCCCCACTGTAAAGACGCACTGCGCAGTTTTGCCCAAAGTGCTCTGTCATTTTTTGAAGCGTCCTCGTCTGTAGCGATGTGTCTCTGTCGGATTCTCTGCCTTTCTGGGGGTTTTTTTCCTGGTGCGTTCGAGGTTACAAACTCGACAGAAAACAGGGTTGAACAGTAGAAAGCAGCATGGAGGCCAGTGAAAATGTTACATTGTTTACTTACTACCCACTAATTTGGAACAATGTTCAATGCTTGGATGTGGACAGACAACATTTGTGGCTGAGATGAAAAAGAAAGCACCGTAAAATGAGCGTGTCCACCCTGGTGTAATAACAAATACCTTTGACTACAGCAGAGCCATTCGTCCGTGGAATGAACGCCGATTGTAACCCTTACTACTAAACATAACATTTATCCAGTGGGACAGGGGCTTTAGTGTACTTCTACAAGGTTAACGGTGAGGGTACCTGGAATTTTTCATCCAGGAGCTGACCCATGTCTGGCAGTAGTCTGTTGACCAGAGAGAAGCCGTGGTCCTCCCATGAGTAGTCCTGCACACATCACACACCAACATCAACAAACACGGGTCTCTGACACTTAGCGCAAACAATCACGAGGCACTGTGTATACTGTAAAAAGCCTGAATAAATAAATTAGGAATGTGAATGATCTCAACTGGAACACACTACCTGAGCTCTCATGGTGGGTGGCGACTGCTCTCCTTTGGGGGCAAAATCCTCGTATCTGAACTCTGGATCCTCCACCAGACGCAGCACCAGATCAGGTGGGGCTTCTCGCACAACCGCTAAAACAAACACGACAAAGAACACAAAGTGAGTGAACGAACGTCAAACAATGTGAATGACGCACGGGATGAACACGTATGTATTTACTGGTTGGTATGCTCTCGCTCCTCTCCCTCTCAAAGCGAGTAACCATCTCCTCCTGTGTGCACTCTTCCTCCTGCTGCTGCAGCTCCACCATCCTCTGCATCAACACCTCCACCTCCATCGCTCCATCACCCAACTGGAACAGAGAGAGAGGAATTTACTGAGTTCTTTATTTTAACAGTAAATCAATAATATGTCATGAATCTTCAACTGTTCCAAAACCGGCACAACTGGTAAAACATCACTGGAATTCTGTTGACATTGTTCAGTTTCAACCAGTCAGACCTGTGGTAAAAACGACTGTTTGACTCACCTCTTGCCTGCCATCCTCGTGAGCGGGGCTATGAGGGCTGTGGGGGCTTCGGGGAAGGTGACTGGGGGATGGGAGTTGGAAAGTATAACCTCCGATGTGGTCGGGTTCAGGGTTCAAGCCGCATCCCCACCCAAAGGAGCAGAGTGAGTGAGCGTGTGCCATCAGGATCACAGCGTGTATGAGTTCAGCCAGTGACCAGCGAGGCTCTGCTCCGGGACACACCAGCTCCTGCAGGGTAGAGGGGCAGGTGTTGGATAAGTGAGGTATTCTATCATGGCTTTGTCGGGTGGTATTGCCTGTTAGTTGGTTGGGGGCCTTCGCTTTAATATCTCAACAATTATTGGGGGGGGATTGCCATGACATTTCATACAGACATTCATGTCCCCCTCAGCATGAATTGTGATGATTTTGGTTATCCGTAACTTATTATCAAGCACCATCTTTTCATTTCTATACCTGCAAAACTAAGGACATTCATGTCAGCCTCGGCTGCACTGTGTGTTTAGTGCTACAACTGTTGGCTACAGCTCACGTTATCCACAGTTTCACAAGCGCGACTGAGAACTACTGCGAACTACTGTAGAGACATGGCGGTGCAACATGGCGGACTCCGTTAAAGAAAGTGTCGGTATGAAGCCCCTTGAAACTAGTGGAGGACACCCGGGCAATTGGGTTATTTCCAATAGAGAGACAAGCATTAGATTTATAATATATTTTAGATTTTTTGACATCGAGAGCATAGACTCTTCTTGTTAAGTTATGACCACCGAATACACAGGAGGCTAAAATAAAATGAACACCTGACAATATAGTTTAATCACAAAACGGCACAAAACCTCATGAAAACGCCACAAAAGGTGAATTACAATAGAACATATTATACTTATCTTTATTGAGTAATTTCAGATACAGTCAGAAAGCTAATGAATTAGATCAATTTACTGTTATATGATGACAAACAGTTTCATTGAATCAGTTTTAATGTTCCGTATCGTTACCCTCAGGTCCCGTTTTAAAGTGCCTAGCATGAGGGCCAAGAGATAAAAGCTTTCCCTCGTCTCTGCTACCATTCATACGTTAAAAGGGCATTAAACCCATTGCTCATTTGAACAGATTGCTTTGATTATTTACTTTAAAAACTCTCACTGAACTGAACCACTCTGTAATCTATGTCCTGTTGTTTCTTGTCGTCCATCAGTGTCCCTGTAAATAAAGAAACTGAACTTTTCAGGGCCTAAGTGGGTGTCTGACCTGGATGTGCTGCAGTGTGATGAGCCAGGGCCGGTGTGCCAGCAGCTTGTTGAGTGTTTGCAGGCTGTGGAGTTTGGTGGGAGCGTGCTTGAGACCACTTAGCCAGCTCTCCTCCCCTCCAGCGTCGAGGAAGCCCGCGCTGTGCTGCTGCACCAGGTACGAGCAGTGATGTCGAGCTGCGGCCTGCGAAACATAAATCACTCCATCCGTTAAAAGCACAGCTTAATCACTGCTCTGTGTATACCAGTGTCATAATGCATAAGAACTGCCCATGCTCATCAATATGAAAAGGGCTCAGAGGTTAAAGCAACACAACTACATTTCTCCACATATAGATCATTTTGAGTCTAATGACATGGCCTTTCTGAAGCGAAAGGGCAGCTAATGTGATGAATATATGAGCGATGAGCATCGTTAAATGTTTATGAGGGGATCAGTCTTTGGCAGACCCTGTTAGTGGCTCACTAGGATACAGTAGCTGAAATAAAACCCTCAAGCAGGGAACGACCTGCCACGTGCATCTGTCATAATTTAACTCACCCCGATTTTTAGATTACAACCACCAAAAATATATCCTGTTTCTTGACTTTGATTGCTTTCAAAATGTGCATTTTTGTACAATAGTTAACTTAAACCACTGTAGTATCTTGAAGGAAGGATAAGGGTTAGACAGAATCATTATCATCAGCGCTTGCTGCAACTGGAGGGTCGCAAAGCCACTGCACACATTAACATTCTGCTATAGAAGGGGAAAAAAGAATGTTCTGACTTGTTTATATTCATTTAAACAAATCACAGTTATCTTGGGGCTGCACCAAGCACACGATGCTGCAATGTTGCTCTTGCAAACTAGAAAGCGCAGATAGCGGAATTGTATTAGCAGCAGCTGTTTCTACCCAGCTATGGCACTGTGAGAGGTTCTGTTGGAAGTGTAGTTCTATCACATGACTCAGTGTGAATGCATCTATTCACTGGTCACTACAGCTGAACTGACTGTAAGTGGGCTGCAGAGGAAACAGCATTACAGCAATATTAGTATAATAAAATCTATTCATAACTATATTAAGATAAAAGAATGAAACCATAAAAACAATTTGGCACACTTGACTTGGTCACAACAAGAGAAAATAATGCAGAGTATTTTACATGACATTACTTTGAATGTTTAAGCTGTTATGCAAGCAATATCTCGCCTAAACATTACACAGATAGACTCACTGGTCCTAATTACAGGCTTGAGAGCATTTATAGCTATTATCATTGCCACCTCATTCCTCACAAAAACTTTTTACGGTTATGTTTTAACCTTCCGGGTCACAGCTGGCAGGATTTAACTCAGCGCACCAGGATGGAAACTCTAACCGACAACAATACCATCTGCTTAAAGTAAAGGATAAGTTAACTGTGTACTAATATTATGTTGATGTATTTACGTAGTCCAATAGTGTTTGATTGTGCATGTATAGATCAAATGCTTTACTTTTAAGTAACAATAAGAATGACATTTAACATGTTTTTTTTTTTAATATATATATATATATATATATATATATATATATATATATATATAAACGTGGGAGCAAATACAAAAAAAAAGAGACTAGCAGAGCAACTTTGCAGAGCAATTTACCAATCAATGAAACAATATGCAGTACATGCATCCCACTATGGACTCTATATCGTTTCATTTGTTGACCAACCCAGCTTAGTATCAATCCGTTACAAGCTTTATAGGGGAAAAAATGAGTACAACCTCATTGGGAGCCGATAGTGAAACCTTGTTCTGGCTTAATAGTCTTTCCAGAGAACCCTCTTTTAATCAGACTATTACCTAATAACTTTGAGTAAACGCCATTAGGGAAACGTTTCTACACTAGGTGTCTATCTGATAGTGCTGTCGCCAAATTTAAAGAAGCGATTCCATCTGCATTTAATTCAATAACCATGTCTCAATATAACAGAGGACTCTTGTGCTAACTTTTGTCTGTCCCAGATCGATCACAGTGTCGATAGTGCTACAGCCTCACTGTGAACGACAATAGACTTTATTGCTCCTCTAAAAAAAGATAATAAAACAGAGGAAGTTCGCTCCATGGTATAACCCTCAAATTAAAGCAAACATCGCAAAAACTTGAAAGGATATGGCGTTCCACCAATTTGGAATAATCTCGGTTTGTCTGGCGAGAAAACATACAAGAAGGCCCTCTGTAATGCCAGAGCAGCTTATTACTGATCATTAAAAGACAAAATAAAGAACAACCACAGGTTTCTCTTCAGCACTGCAGCCACTGTGACAGAGAGTCACAGCTCTGTTGAGCCGTGTACTCCTATAGACCTCAGTAGTCGTGTTGAATATAAAGTTTTACCATCAGGAGAGCACATGAGGCCCTCGCTGTGGTCACTGGCATTGATCTGAAAAGCTCCGATAGGTGTGACTAGTTAATCATATACTGTGATTCTCTTACCATAACAGCGATGTAATGTCTCCAGTGACGGGGCAACGGGCCGTCCATCTCCAACAAAGCATGCTGGGTCCTCAGGAAGCAGCTGAGGTAGGCGGGGTGCATTGCCATCACCATTGAGATGTGGTCCACGCGGCCCACTGAAAGGAAAGATTCGATGAGGATGTCCTGATCCGGCACTTCTTTCAACATCTAAAGACAAAGAGCAACACAACTAAACTCACTTTATGTTGTTACAATGCTTGAGGACACGTTGGTAAGGATTCACTTAACAATGCTGGAAATAAAGAGCCTTTAAAAGCTGATGCAACATTTCCACTCTCTCCAGTGGAAAGCTTCCAGTAAGTCACATATTAAATTAGATTTTTGAGTCATCAGCTTTTGCAACATGTGTGCATTATTGCTTGTCTTGATGACATGAAGCAACAGCTGTTGCGGCAGAATAGCTGGCTGCACAGCTGCACGTTTATCACGATGCCAGCCTGAAACGAGCCCAGTTCAGTCTTTGGTTAAGACACGGAGGCAAGCTCTGCGCCACCCTGAAACCAACTGGTGAAACTGCATCCCTTGTTTAAATAGTTTGATCAATAAACATTACATGGCAAATAAGAAATGGTGATCAACAATATACACTGCTCCAATCCTCATGGGATTTACTATTGGAAAGAAAACCGCAATTTTTATTATTAATACCTTTAATAATGGGGTAAATAGATGTACTTTCAAAAAACAAGCCATACACACCTCTTTTGCAGGAATAAAGGCACTTGGGCCAGATGCCAGCGCCCGAGGTACTTCAACTCCTTGTTCCTAAGCAGGAAGACACAGAGAGTTTGGTAAATAACACCGTGAAATAACATCTAATTTAATGTCGGATTAATCTGACAATTATCTTCTCGATAAATCGTTTGAGCTATCAAATGTCACAAAATAATACAGAATGCTTGTTGGATATTGTCCTCAAATTACTTGTTTTGTCTGATAAACAGTCCGAGACGTAACGATATTGAGTTCACGATGACGCAAGACAAAGAAAAGCAGCAAAGTTTCACAACTGAGAAGCTGGAATGAAGGAGTGTTAGGCCTTTCTGCTCAAAAACTTATAAATCAATCATCCAAGCAGTTGTTCTGTTGATCGACAAATCGATGAGTTGTCTTAAACCGTATACATTAATTCATCACAATTAAAAAAACGTTTTGAGCAAACAACTAAAGGGTTAGATCTTCTTCAACATCTTCAGAATACATGAATAATACCGATTTTACATATAAATGCATGTTATTTGAAGATAAATGAGAAATCAGCTTTAACCCCCATGAACTTGACTAGACTTTACTTAGACTGCAGCAGCTGTTCTGTAACTGGAGAGCCCGTTTTATAACCTTGCAGCCCATAAAATCTGTAACCAAAGCCACGCATTCAACTCACAGACATCATCAGAAGGCCGGCACAAACAAAAAAAGTCTCCGCTCGTTATCTCCAACAGAGACGACACATACACTGAAAAAGCCTCCAACACCAGCTTTGACTTTATATTCCCAGAACGTGCAGTGAGCTGTGGAGAGGCTCGAGGGGGGGGGTGTGTCCGATGTGTTGTTCAGTTCAGGACAGCGGGAGGGGGCGTGTCCGGACATAGAGGGGGCGTGTCCGGCCAGCTTGTTTGTGCTCGCCACAGCAGAGTCTTGCGTCACCTCACACAGTTCAATGTCTGATGAAATATCAAGCAGTCTGATGGAAAGTGCTAATCAGCTGATAACTCTTGGCTGATCAGACCGTAACGTTATCGCGAACCGTTATTCAATCATCCACCTATTCTTGGCATTTTATGATAAGCAGCTAAAGCAATAACATTCGTGCTAAAAAGAAAAAATACTAAGATACTACCAAATACTATCCCAACATTTACCTGTGCGGTTCGCAGCAGCTCGGTCGCTCTCCCCCGAACCTCCTGCAGTGGACACGACCGGGACAGTCGAAGCAGATTTAAAAGTGTTTGTTTACTGATCAGCTGGTCCGATCCCAAGCACGCCAGAACCCCCTGACTGAGCTCCTCCAGAGACGCTGCTCGCTCGTCCTCGTCCTTGCTGCACAGCCGTGCTAAGCTTTTGACAGTCGGGCCAACGTCGGACTCTGACTCGTACTGGTGTCGACCGGAGCCTAGACCCGGTGTGTTGTATCCGTTGCTCGCCATCTGTTGTTATTGGTCCCAAAACACCTCGAACGGATTCTTGACGCACCCGTGTTGAGCTCGTGCTAGCTACAGTTAGCTCAAGACGCAAACGTTGGTGTTCTTTTAAATGCCCGGATGCTCGATCGTGTCTGTTGTCAGTTGACTGCGCAATAATCTGTTCCACCAATCATTAAAGCAAACGGACCTTCTTCAAAGCTGTCTCGCACACCAGAGACAGTTATCTGTGCTCATACCCCCGGGTACCGGGACCGTAGAGACGGTCTGCCCCGGTTAGCTCGCTCAGCTAGCCTAGCTGCTGTTAGCAGATGCTGCAGGCTGTAAAACTCAATAACAGCGTTTAACGGTGGCTCGGTAACAAAAACAAAACACTGTGAGCCAGTGGTTCGTGTTTTGGACTGGACTCCCAGACTAGAGCACAGTGCAAAGTTTAAAATCAGCTTTCATGAAGCACCAAGAGACAATGACAGGCTTTGCTCGCTGGTTTCGTTCAGCTGTTCGGAGTTGAAGAACTTTTTTCTCCTGTTATGCAACGTCATTGTGACGTTGTGAAAACTTTTCTCACCAACAAACTGCACTTTTTAAGGTGAATAAATACTTCTCAATAAAAAAAACAATGTTTCAATTTCTGAACAATTCAACCTTCACTTACACTTAACATGTAATATAAAATAAAACATAAAACTTGTCAATACACCTGTTTGCAGCTTTCTAATAATTACAAATTTGCATGACTGTAGCAACTATTGCCCATTAATCTATTTATGAATCAATTAAGTATGTAGTCTATAACATGTATTATATGGACCCTGAGTCTGAAATAAAGTTTGATTGATTGATTGATGTCAACACAGATGACAGATCAAAATCATCATACTTACCAGAGCCATAGATTTGCTGTTCTCCATTTTATAAAATTAAACTGTGAAAAGCAGTAAGTTTCCTGTTTACATTTTCTTGACAGGGAACCCCACAAATCCACTAGTATGGATCCTACTTTGTTTTGGTTCTGATCACTGTCATATGGGAATCATTTGAGTACTTCAGAAATACTTTATGCAGAATTACAATAAAGTTATGAGTGAAAAAGACTGTCGTTACGTACATCTTACACTATTCATTGAAACAGTCCACCATTTTGCTGGGAACACCTGTCAAGCCCTTGTGGTCCTCTGAGCCCACATTTGGGGACCATAGGAATATTCAATGTCCTTTTTATACTTATTCATATTTCATTAACTAAAATTGTGTAAAAGTAAGAATTGCTTCGTTTCTGTGTGTGCATACAATAGTTTCACAATTTATATTATGTACTTCCTGAATCACCTTTATTTAGGAAAATAAAAAAACATCAGACATATTTCTTATATTAATTTACCTGTATATATATTATATACCATGTAGGACATTAGATATGTGTGGGGCTAAGAGAAAGATGACAGTGTCAAATAGAAACAGACAAACAAGTGAGGGTGATACGCTGCTCCGTACACAGACTCAAAGCAGTTTGGGGAAATTCAACATTGTGGCAGCAACAAAGAAAAACCCTTCAGTGTATCGTCACCGTTTCCCTATGAGGGAAGACTTTTATTAACAAACACACAGGCTGGCTATGGAGCATGACCTTCGGAGCACACATAAAAGGCGTGGTCCCCATGGCAAACCGGCGCTTCGTGTCCCAGGAGACCCAAGGGTGGAGGAGGTAACACAGAGAGAGGAGGAGGAGGCAGAGGTAACACCGAGAGAGGAGGAGGGGGCAGAGGTAACACAGAGAGAGGAGGGGGCAGAGGTGGTTTGGGAGAGCTCAGGATACAAGCAGAGGTCAGGGTTCACACTCACACGGGTTTCTCTTCAGTATTTTACAGGAAGTAAAAGGTGTTTGTGTGTGTGTTTGTGGGTGTGCGGATGTATAGGAAAGAGAGGGATGTGAGTCCTCAGACGATTTTGTTCTCCAGCAAGGCGATCCTCTTCGTCATACTGTCTAGTGAGATTTTGTCAAGGACATGCAACAATGAAGACAAAGACACCACATATGATAACTACATTATAACCCTCCCTCCAAACATCCTATTCTAACACCGTTTCACCCATTGTAAAGGATATATTTTTTTGTTAGTGCCTGCAGGGCTTGTTCTACTTTCTTTTGGAACTTTACGAGGGAGTCACATTCACAAGGGTCCTCCTCTGTAGGAACAGAAAGCACAAGTTCTGGGTTATTGTACCAGTATGTAGTGAAATGACTTGTTTGTAGATGTATGCTTGTATTCAATGATCATGTGGGACCTTGACAGATGTTAATCTGCAGCTTCTTGGCGATCTGGGTCATGGCTTTGAAGTCAGCAGTGTAGAAGTAGTGCTCTCCAGTCGGCTCAGAGGCGATCTCTTTCAGCTCATTCTCCACTGCGTTGCCCACTCCAACAGCGTACATCTTGAAACCTGCAACATAAACACAGACAGGTTTCCCCTCATCTGAATGGTAAAAGTAGGGTTTGGATTGTATCTACTTACACTACACCCATGCATTAAGAAGAGATCCATCCTCTCCCTCTCACCGTGCTCCTTGGCCTTCTTGGCGGCTTCTCCGATGTAGTCCTGGCTGCGTCCGTCAGTGAAGACGATGCCCACCTTGGCGACTCCAGGCCGGGCGCCCTGACCGGCGCTGAAGCTGTTGTCTGTCAGATAGCGGAGAGCCTGGCCCGTCATGGTTCCCCTCTCCATGTAGGCCATCTTCTTCACAGCTTCCTTCAGGTCCTTCTTGTTGTTGTAGTGGCCCAGGGGGAACTCCTGCAGGAGGGAGACGGAAACATGACGTTGACGCGTACGAGAAGGAGGTTGAATATTAGGTGGACACTGAAATGGCAAACACAGATACGTGCCTGTCGGACTGAGCTGGAGTACTGGACCAGTCCGACGTGAGCCTTGCTGTCGGAAACATCCAGTTTGTCTACGATCTGGTTGATCCACTTCTTGACCAGCTCAAAGTTCTCTGGACGCACGCTCTTAGAGCCATCGATCAGGAACACCACATCTGTCGCCGCATTGCTGCAAGCTGGTGATGTCAGACACACAACAGGGCCTGTTACTCTGGTAGCACAATTGCTGAGCTTGGACAAATACCTTCACACACACGCGCGCACACGCAAACACACACTCACCACTGCAGCTGCGACCATTGTCCATGAGGGTAAAGCCATCTTTGCAGGCACACTTGTATGATCCGGGGGAGCTGATGCATACCTGCTCACAGTCATGATCCCCAGTGGCACACAGGTCCGACACTGTGTGTGTGTGTGTGCAGAACACACGTACACACAGTAGAATATATGTTGAGGCACACACACACACAGAGGGAGGGGGGGTTAGGAGGAGAGAATGAAACTATGTCAGTTTGAAAACGGGAAAAATCTAGCTTTGATTTTTAATGATCCACTGTGACCTGCAGCCAACAGTTTTGAATATGTGTGGACGGAGCATGAATCCAGTGGATCCTTAAAACAAACAGGTGGAGAAGATTGGAGTAGCCTCAAATAAACAAGATCCGTTTTGTCTGTTTCTAAATGCGAGGCACAGGCTCGTCCAATAACAGTCCAACACTGTGGTCATGCAGCGCTGCCCTTGGATGAAACATCTGCAGCGAGACTGGCTGCTGCGTAGTGAGTGGCAGGCAGCAGGCAAAACTGCCGCAGACTGGGAGAGCCAAGGGGGCGTCAATAATTAGAGGTTTAACGATTGTCACTAATGGATCGGTAATTACACAGAGATCAGTCTCGCCTCTCGGTTATGCGAGTGTTGACTGAAGAACAGGAGCGCATTTTGTTCCTAAAGGTTGTTCCTGCCCTACATGCCCTCGTGCAGTGGGAGTATTTAATGAGTTTGAACGGTCTTGTTGAGGGAGAGCAGAGGAGCAACATGTAGGAATGAAAAGATGACAGTCCTGACACCTTACCCTCAGTATAGGGCGGCAGCTCTCTCCACAGTGATGAAGGATAATGATGATGATGATGACCCGCCCTGACAGGGATTCTTCTCAACCATCTTTTCCTGTTTCCATCGCTACAGACTAATCTCAGTTTTCTGCACCTGTCCCTCTAACTTTAACAATAACGCCCTCATCCTTCCTTCTTCTTCTCCCACTTCCTCTTCCTCCGCCCATCTTACCACAGAAGGCCTCCTGGAACTTCTTGGTGAGCTTCTCGATGACGCTGTAGCTCTCCACGTAGTCCACGTGGTCATCCAGAGGATCACTGGCCATCTGCTTCAGGGTGCTCATGTCCACACGTCCCACGCCGATGGCAAAAATCTCAATACCAGCATCCCGTGCACGCTGGGCCACATCCTTCACGCTGTCCTGGGGACGCCCGTCTGTCACAATAATGGCAACCTGCGAAGGACGAGGAGCAAAATAAGATAAAAAAAGAGGATCATAATGATGGGTTATATGTTGAGTTGCGTGTGTAAATGCATGTAAATGTGTGTCTGACCTTGCTGATATCAGGAGATTTGACGCGAGCGCCCTCGGCCTCACTGAAGGCCACATTCATGGCAAACTGGATGGACAGACCAGTCATTGTTCCAGTGGACAGGGGCTCGATCTTGGTCACAGCCTTAATCAGCCCGGCTTTGGTGCGGTGCGTCTTCAGAGACACCTACAGTTGCGTAATAATAACAAGGTCAGTAATATCAAATACCTTGACAAATTAATAAAAACTGTTCAGTGCTAGCGAAGGCTAGCGGAGCCCCGTACCTCGTTGTTGACGTGGCTGGCATAGTTGACGACTCCCACGCGGGTGGCGTTGGGTCCAACATCCAGCCCCTCGATGACCTTAGCCAGGAACACCTTGACCTGCTCAAACTCTGAAGGCCGAACGCTCCGACTGCTGTCGATGATGAACACGATGTCTGTGGGACGAGTTTTGCACAAACCTGCCGCTACACATGAAGACAGGAGGACAGAAAAAAAAGATTATTATGGATTCTTCTAATAATAGTTTTCATAACACTTGTACATCCACATAATGGTTCAGAAATGTAGATGGATAAAAGAAAAAGAAAATTGATGAAGAAGTGAGAAAAGGGGAGGGTGGGAGGACCATGGGGAGAACGGAGGTATTGAGGGGAGAAGGGAGGGTCAATGGGACAGGATGCAGGGAGGCAACAGGGGTGGAGGAAGACGAGGGTGGAGGAAGAGGCGGAGAAAAGAGAGGTAAAAAAAGGACAGAAAAAGATCAAATGGGCCTGCTTTAAAAATATGTTTTTTAAACTCTTAGATAATAATATGAATAAAAATGAATAATTATTAAATACAATTATTAGATTAAAAACTGAACAAAATCAGCAAGAAAGTGAGATGTGGCTGGAAGCTCAGAAAAAGTGACTCTTGAGTTAAGATTTTCATTATATTAACGTTTTTGCTGAAAAAGCTTTAACTGTTCAGCTGCAAGCACCCGATGGAGCTACCTAATGAGTGTGAAAGACAGAGAACTGTTTTGTGATAGTGTAGTCATAATAATAATAATAAAACAGTTTGAATCAGGGAGGATGTGTTGGATTTTCAGTGAGGGTCCAGGCTTTATTAAGGCCTTGTTAAATTAATCGCTAAAACATCCAGTGTCCCTTTAACATTACTGATCTCCCTTCTCACCCTTCACCTCTCTCCCTCCCTTCAGTTTTTTCTCCCACCAACTTTTACATCACACATGCACACACACACACACACACACAGCGTACCAACTACCAAACTCCATCCTGAAACAGTCATCTAAACACCGGCAACAACACAAAAGACACTTTAATATAATGTAAAATGTTGTCTTCAACACTGGCTGACTAAGCACTTCAAATCAATAAATACCCAAGGACACTGAAAATTAATTATATTATTTTATAATTATACTGACTAAATTCAATTTAAAAAGACTAAATTTATTAAATACTTCACTTTTTCCATTACTCTCCTTCAATTCTGTTACCTCTGTGAATGTATTCCACTCTACAGCAAAGCAACTGGTTAACACACATCACACCGTCCCTGGATTTATGGACAAGAATGAACTTAGAGGGATATTCTTCTAAAATGCTGTTACCTCTGTATTTACGTCGTACTTATTCATCTTATGTCAATTCTGTGAGTCACTTTCCACTGGAGATATATTTGAGGACAAGGAGTGAAAAGAGTATTAGATGTCAGGTATCTCACCATCAAAGACTCTGAGTCCTCAACTGGCATTAGAAACAACTTTTAGGGTTAAAGGTCATCATTCTTACCCATGGCGGCGGCCGTGCGGAGGTCCACGGTGGCCTGAGCCCCCATGAGGCCGAGCAGCAGCAGGAAAAACGACGGGGTAGGCGTCATGGTGACAGCGACAGAGGGGGTCCGAGTGTGTCGAGAGACAGTCCGAGAGTGAGAAGCCAGAAAGGAGACGGAGCAGGGCGAAGGGAGTTCCAGGAGAGAGGATGGCCACAAAGTGAGACTGAGTGACTCTGAGCTGCAGGTTATCAATGCAAGTGCTTCACACACTCAGCCCACAGGCCGCCGCCCCCCCCCCCCCCCCCCCCCCCCCCCCCACCCCACCCCTCTCCATAGTGGCAGTGTATGTATGTAGATGTGTGTGTGCGCACGGGTAAGAGAGGGAAATACCTGCTCTGGGAGGACCTAAAAAGGCGGGCAAGGAAAGACAAACACACCTTGATATGGCTATGATGAACAGGTTGTGTGTGAGAGAGAGAGTAGTAGAATCTGTGTTGTACGCATGCTCGAGTACCTGAGCATGTACAGTATGTGTGTGTGTGTGTGTGTGTGTGTGTGTGTGTGGCTGGGGGTACAGGAGCGGCTGGGGTTTGGTGCAAAGTGCGCGCCAACGCAGCCCCAGGTTGGATTTGGCCAAAGCTCAAATAAACACCAACATGAATTCCTCTTTTCTCCCCGCGTTCCCTCGTATAGCAAACACACATTTATGGTGCGGAAGTGAAGGAGAGCCACCGTACACAGCCCGCAGTGTTCCCGCTGCTCTGCACGTTGGGAGGTGTGTGTGTGTGTGTGTGCATTTTGTTTTTGCATAAGCATGCACTTCTGTATAACCTGAAGTATACAAGCCGATTCTTGGATTCCTAAGTTCAGCTCAGTCCAGCTCCTGAATCATTCATAACATTTTGTGTTTTTCTATCACTTGTCTGGTCTCATCCATCTTTTCTCCCATCCTTTCTCCCATCCTTCCTCTTCTGCATTTCTGTGGATTTTGAAAGCCTTGACTTTCATAAACATTTCAGATCAAATTTAGCCTCAAGCTGCACAATAAACATAAAAATAGAAGGTAAAGATTTCCTGATTCCAACCAGATCAAAATCAAATGTTCCCCCTGACTCTTCTTCCTGCCTTTCCCCCATTACTCTCCTCTCCTCTGTCAGGTAGGCGGCGGGCCCCAGCGGAGTAAACACAGAGGGAAAACACACCTTCATCAATACGCACAT